TTTGTGTCTTGTTCCATCTAGGGTCAGTAGTATCCTTCCCTAACCAGCTTTAGTACCAATGAATCTGCATTGGAATAGTTTCCGCAAATTCCTTCATGGACTTTTCTCATAACGTATTTCGCCTCGGAGCCTCCTAGACATCAGGACAACGGGCTTTGGTACGATCTCCTATACAATTGTCTGCACATAAGGCAGTAACGAGCCGTTTTGGTGCATAGTGCCTGGGACGCCTTTGGGTCTTCAGGCAACTTGTCAAGCCGAAGGTATTCGACAAACGTATTCCTCTAGTCTCAGACTAGGTTGGTTGTATTCACTCCACAATAGATGTACACATCCAACACCGAATGCATAAGCTAAACAAAAGTACCGGAGTCAGATCCTTTCATCTTCGTGGACGACCCCAAATTGGCCAATGTATCAGCTTCTACGTTCTCTTCTCTCAGAATGTGTGTGATCCACCACTCCCTGAAACGTGCAAGCAATGTCTGAATTGTAATCACATATTGGTGCATGCATTCCTCCTTTGCGTCGAAAATCCCGTACACTTGGTTTACAACTAGTTAGGAATCATATTTGATATTTATGACCTCGGAGCTAAGTGCTTGGGCCAGTTCAAGTCCTGCAACCAAAGCCTCATACTCGGCTTCATTGTTAGTTAACATAACGGTCTTACTGGCCTACCTCAGGGTTTCCCCCGAGGGTGTGATTAGAACGACCCCGAGCCCGGACCTTTTTACGTTGGAAGCTTCATCCATAAACAAGGTCAAAACTCCCGATGTCATTTCTAACACCAACATTGCTTCTTTAGCAGCTAGGGGCATTAACCCGGGACTAACATCGGCTACGAAGTTGGCCAAAACCTGTGACTTGATTGCAGTCCTGGGTTTATACTCAATGTCAAATTTACTAATCTCGACTGCCCATTTAGCCAATCGGCCTGACAACTTGGGCTTGTGAAGAACATTACGCAAAGGGAAAGTTTTCACGACGACTATCGGGTGGCACTGAAAATAAGGCCTAAGCTTTGGAGAGGCGACTACGAGATCTAAGGCCAGCTTTTTGAGGTGTGCATAGCTAGTATCTACCCGTGACAAAATTTTACTAACATAATAGACAGGAAATTGCGTACCTTAATCTTGCCAGACTAAAACGACACTTATCGCTACTTCCAAGACTGCTAGATATATCAGTAATTGTTCACCTTCCCCCGATTTTGATAATAATAGGGGGGTTTATAGGTAGCATTTCAGGTCTTTCAAGTTCTTTTGGCATTCTAGAGTCCACACGAAATTGTTCTTCTTCTTCATAAGTGAGAAAAAGCGGTGACAGTTGTTTGAGGATCGGGAGATGAAACTGCTTAAAGCGGCCAATCTTTCGGTTAGTCTCTATACTTCTTTTACACTTGTTAGCTGGTACGGAATGTCTTCGAGGGATTTAATTTTGCCGTGATTCACCTTGATCCCTCGCTGTGAGACCAAAAATCCCAAGAACTTACCGGAGCCAACCCCGAACGTGCATTTTTCGGGTTGAGCTTTATGCTATGCTTCCTTAAGATATCAAATGTTTCTTGGAGGTTGTTTCAAATGATCACCTGCATGCAAAAACTTGATTAACATGTCATCAATATATACTTCCATTATTTTGCCTATTTGCTTTTGGAACAACTTGTTCACGAGCCTCTGGTAAGTGGCTCTGGCATTTTTAAGCCCAAATGGCGCCACATTATAGCAGTATGTGCCAAAGTTCGTTATGAACGAAGTTTTTTCCTAATCCTCCGGGTTCATCTTGATTTGATTGTACCCGGGATAAGCATCAAGGAAACACATTAACTCGTGCTCGCTCGTTGCATCAATCATTTGATCAATTTAATAGTGGGAACGAGTCTTTAGGGCACGCCTTATTTAAGTACTTATAATATATGCACATTCTAAACTTATTATTTTTCTTTGGAACCACAACTACGTTAGCTAACCATTCGGGATACTTTACCTCACGGATCGAACTGATGTCAAGTAGTCGAGGTACCTCTTCTTTAACAAATTTGTTTCTGACCTCGGCTATCGGGCGTTTCTTTTGCTTCACCGATGGGAAATTTGGATCCAAGCTTAGCTTGTGCACGACCACCTCTAATGAGATACCTATCATATCCGAGTGCGACCATGTAAAACAGTCAACGTTAGCTTTGAGGAAATTAATAAATCTTGACCTGAGCTTGAGATTGAGTCTTATTCCCAAGTGAAACTTCCTTTCCAAGAATTCTTCGAACATAGCCACTTGTTCGAGTTCTTCTGTAGTGGACTTGGCTACGTCTATATTTTTTGATACCTAGAAGTATCTCGGCACCTAGTGGGATTCCGATGACTTCTCATCTTCATCTTCATTGGTTAGGGGATAAGGCGTCGGTTCCAATAATTGCTATTTGTTGGGTTCCTTCCCTTTGCTACTAGAAATAAAAAATGTGTTCATCTCTCTTTTTATAGGTTGATCTCCTCTAATCTGTTTGATTCCCTTCAGGGTCGGAAATTTGAGCAGTTGATGATATGTTGAGGGTACGACCTTCATCTCATGTAACCACGGCCTTTCGAGGATTATTTTGTAACCCATGTTGTCGTCGACCACTTTGAACATGGTGGTTTTTGTTACCCCTTCGGCATTCGTGGGCAGAAGGATCTCTCCTCGAGTTGTCACACTTTTCATGTTGTACCCAGCGAGGAGTTTTGTCGCTGGAATGATGCTTCTGGTTAACTTTGCTTTTTCCAGCACTCTCCATTGAATGATGTTGGCTAAGCTTCCTGTGTCAACCAAAACATGCTTAATTTTGAAATCTAAGACATTGAGAGAGTTACGAGGGCATCGTTATGTGGAAGAACAAGCCTGTCATCGTCTTCCTCCGTGAAGGTGATATCATCTTCTGTGACCTCCCGAAGTCTCTTGGTTTGAGTCACTGATACCTTTGTCTTCTTGGCCACCTAGAAGCTTACACCATTGATTTCATTCCCTCCGAAAATAATGTTGATAGTCAACTGAGGAGGGTCTTCTCCTATCTTCGAGGGCTTTGCATTGTCCCGGTTGCGGCCATAATTGTTCCTAGCCCGGTCGCTCAAGAACTCCTGAGATGGCCATTTTTCAACAACATCGCCACCTCTTCACGTAGATGACCGCAGTCCCCAGCTCTGTGGTCATGAGTCCCATGATATTCGCACCATGAGTTAGGATCCCTCTAGCTGGGATCCGATCTAATTGGCTTCAGGAATCGTGCTTCTTGGATATTCCTCATCGCCGATACTAATTCCACTACGTTGATGTTGAAATTGTAATATGAAAACCTGGGATATGTGGAATCTCGGGCCCCCGGTACCTCTTTTTCTTACAACGATCTGTTGTTCCAGCCACGGTCAGTTCTTCTATCGGGAGCGAACCTATCCCAGGACCAGAACCCCTTGCTGCCGGATCCTTCGGTTCTCTCGTATGGCAAGAACCTACCTTTAGAAAATCTTCGGACCGTATCAAAATAACCTTTGAACTTATCATGGTTCTTATCTTGGTCCCGTCCCTTGGTTGATGTCGGGAACCCGAGCTGATCATCTTCTATCCTTATTTTTGACTCATAGCAATTTTGAACATTCACCCATGTAGTTTCTTGGAATTTGAGCACGCTTTTCTTCAGCTTTAGGGAGGCGTCGGAGCTTTTTGGATTCAAACCCTTTGTGAACGCCTGTATTTCACACTTATCTGGTACGGCCGGTAGTAGCATTTTTTCTTTATGGAACCTGATCACGAACTCCCGCAATAATTCTAACTCACCTTGAGTGATCCTAAATATATCCGCCTTTCTGGCTGGAACCTTTCTAGCTTCGGCATAGGCCTTTATGAAGGAATCTTCAAGCATCTGAAATGATTCAATTGAACGTTCGGGTAAGGGCGAATACCATGTCAGGGCCCCCTTTTGTGAGGGTTTCTCCAAACATTTTCAATAGAACCGATTCGATCTCATGTTGAGCCAAGTCGTTCCCTTTGACAGTCGTGGTATAGGTTATGATGTGCTTTTGTGGGTCCGAAGTCCCATTGTACTTTGGTATGTCTGGCATCGTGAACCTCTTTAGAATTAACTTTGGTGTTGTGCTTGGCTTAAACGACAACTGGGTATTTTTTTTTCAAATGTGGGACCTTCAAAACTAGTGGTGCATCGGGAATCTGATCCATTCGGGCGTGAAACTCCTTCGCATTTTGATCCACCCGTTCATTTATTTCCCTCATAAATCTCAATGAGCTCAATTTTGAAGGGATCATTACTGTTGTCGTTACCAGATCCGCTACCGGTCCCCCCGCCACGATCAAAACTCACCTCACCCCCCGGGTGTTGTTATCAACGTTTTGAGCCGTTTGATTTTCAGGAGCACCGAAAGGAACCAGGCCCTTTCATTTATGTTGTTAGAAGCGCCGGACAATGCTTACTTCAATTCTGTTACCATCACTTGATCTTTTCTTGAAAGGTGGCTCATGATGGCTTTCTGGTGCTCACTTAGGATTCTGACTTTTTCCTCAACATGTTCCTCTTCCACGTCATCGGGAGTTGGCTCCCATACATGTCGGGGGTACTTTCCTCTATGGACCGGAGTTGCCTCGTCCCTCTCGTTGTGGGTGTCACTGATTAAAGCCTCATGTTGAGGTAGATTTTCATGTCCCTCAACGTTGTGTGTGATGATGACATCGTTAGTTGCCATTTTCGATTTCTTGCTAAGGAACAAAGAATAAAAAAAGTTAGTAATAAAATGCAAGGATCGACTCAATTACGCAACTGTCTGAGACCCACAGTGGGCGCCAAACACTCAAGTGTCTTAAAGACCTTAATTCTCTATCAAAATTTCATAGCCACGAACAGTTCGGAGTTACCATCGAAATCGGGCCTCATTCGGGCTTCTAGAGAATGGATGCTCTAGATTACGTCTAATTATATGCTAAGGCATTAAGAACAATCCATAAATAAAAATTGCAAAGAGATGTTGAAAAGTAAAAGAGGCGGTGTTGCCGAAGGAAATGTTTATATATATATATATATATATATATATATATATATATATATATATATATATATATATATATATATATTGCCCAACTATTTTTAATTTAAGTTGGGTGAATGACTATTTAGGTTTATTCTTCCAAAAGCTCGTGGAATATCACAATACAAAGTATTCTTAACAAAAACTTGTATTTTTAATTATATTTATTTTACTAATTTGCTATAATATAATCAGGCGCATTTAGCACCTCAGAGCCACCACAAATTCGATTTCCGGAAGTACATCAAACGATCACTCGAAGAAGATTTCAAAGTGGTCGTAGGGATCAGGTTATTTTAGCCTTCAATTTTAAGTTTTAACTTAATAATATTTTACATTATTTAGGTTATTATGTTATGTTATGCTAATCTTTTGAGTTTACTTTTATCTTTTATGCTTTTCTCAGTCCCCCAATATGGTTTCTCGCTGTGCTGTTCCTACTCTTCAATACTCATGGTAAACTACTTCACATATATTTTTAATATATATATATATATCGATAATGGAAAGAATGTTCAAGTTATTGATATATAAATTTTAATTCATATGTTATAGTAGGTAAATTATTTTATTTTTCAAGTTAGTAATCTCAATACTTATCTATTAGCTGATCAAATAGTCCAGCAAAACATGACAATATGTAGCTGTCAATAAAAAATAAAAATTATCATGTTCACTAGCACTTGATATCCTAAATTATCACACACACGCACACAAAGTCTCCCGTTGAGAGATTTATTAGTGATTGTGTCACCCCCTCTCCCCCGCGAAGAAAGAAAGGCAGGTTTAGGCGATTGATCAAAGTCTTTATGATAGAACAATGGAATGAAGCGGTGGGGTATATATGTACTCCTATACTCTTCGAGATCCATGACTATATCAAAAATATTGATAGGCTTATAAATAGGTGTAATGATGTATTGCAAGTGTTTATCTAGGTGTAGAAACAATTACTTTAATTCTCAAGCTGTGTCAATCATTCCTTAATTGCGATTAGATTTGACTAATACAAGGCATTACTATTTGTGGACAGGCTGGTACTCTTATCTCTGGCTACCATTCATCCCCTTGATTGTAAGTTGTAGTTCCCAAGTACATATCTTTCAATTAACTTTGTGTGGATGTTTCATTTTCATTTTTAACAATTATCTATCTGTTTTCAAAGTTTACACATTTATTTTTTACTATGTTTTCTTTGGTCTCATACCAAAAATATTAGCTTTATTTATAATTGTATGATGGAAATTTAAAGGGTGGCGAATAAAATGCAGGTCATATTATTAGTAGGGACCAAGCTACAAGTGATTATAACAAAGATGGGATTAAGGATTCATGAAAGAGGAGAAGTAGTGAAAGGAGTCCCTGTCGTTCAGCCTGGGGATCACCTTTTTTGGTTCAACCGTCCTCGTCTCATTCTTTATCTCATTAATTTTGTCCTCTTTCAGGTAACTAATTGTTTTTTAATCAAAAAATTCTATACTATCAAATCAGCTATAAGATAATTATATGCAACTGCTTAAAATGAAACTTAATTACCTAGTATAAAATAAAGTAGTTAACCTATTAAAACAGTAAATTATGGAGTACTACTAATGTAAAACTTATTTAAATTATCAGTGCACCTAAGTAAAATCCAACTATCAATTAGATTAATGTTATATTCATTGACAATGCAAATAAATTTTACACAATTTGTTCAAATTCATCTTTTATAGAAGGTTAGTTGCTTTAGTTGTCATGTTAATATTTTCATCAATTATGAATAATTACCTTTAAAATAACCTGATAATGTAAATATTCTTTAGGTTGTGAATGCTAAATATTAGTCAAATACTTATACATTTAGCTCTCTTATGGCTCATCTTAATGGTTTTTATTTACTTCTTGTGAATGAATGCAGAATGCTTTTCAATTGGCCTTCTTTGCTTGGACTTGGGTAAGCACTATGCACCAACTTTTTCCTATTGCCAGTATTGCTAAACTTTTTGTGTTTTTTAAAACCAAATTATTGCAAAAGAAGCAATGAAATTTAAAAAGTGAGAAGGAAAAGAAAACTAATAACCGAATCTTTCTTTTCTTTCTTTTGGGTAATACCAGTATGAGTTCGGGCTGAAATCTTGTTATCACGACCATACTGAGGATATCGTCATCAGAATATCTATGGGGTAAGGACTCTTTATCATTTGCTGTTTGGCTTTTGCTTCTATTTCTTATTGGATTTTTATATAAATAATCAGTTCTTCATTACTTCTTTTTCTTATCACCTCTTCATTTCATAACATTTACAATGATATTATGAGCAGGGTTCTCATTCAGATTCTCTGCAGTTATGTCACCCTTCCTCTTTATGCTCTCGTGACACAGGTAATGAACTGAATACAATTTCAGAATTCTTGTCATATAAATCTTGAATATTATATATCTTTTATTAGTTTTGACCGGCTCAATCTCAAGATAGCTACCTACCAAGAAATGAGTGTTGTATTTCATAGAATTTAAGTTACATACACCATAATTGTTACATTATCAGTTTAGCTTTTCATGTTATAATAAGTTATTTATCAATTATTCTAAGTTAACAATTAGTGCTCATCAACAGATTTACATGTAATCATTTTAAGTAACTGATTATGAAAATATTTTTCACACGGTCAGTATATATATATATTCTTTGGAACGAAATGCTCAAATGTGGTATAATTATGAATACAGATGGGTTCAAACATGAAACCAACCATATTCAATGAGAAAGTAGCAACAGCATTGAAGAACTGGCACCACACAGCAAAGAAACACATTAAGGATCAAAGCAAGCATTCAAATACAGTGACACCAATGTCAAGCAGGCCAGGAACACCCTCTCATGGCATGTCACCCGTCCATTTGTTGCGCAGTCATTACAGGAGCGATGTGGGCAGCCTACAGAACTCGCCTCATAGATCAAACTATGATCATGCTGATCACTGGGACAATGAGGGCGGCTCCCCTTCACCCTCCCGGTTTTACCAGGAGGGTGATGGCTCATCATCGTCCTACATGCACCAGATTCAACTTGGTCACTTGGAACATGACTCGCCAGAAGTTATTGGGCCTAGTTCGTCACAAGTGGTTCCCCTGCCACAAGAGGATCGCGACCAACATGAGATCACCATTGCTGGATCAAGAGAATTTTCGTTTGAGAAAAGAACGACAAGTTTATAGAATTAACAAAATCTTGCACAGGGACTAAGTGAAGGAATTTTTCCTAGCGCATTGCAAAAAGAAGTCTGTTTAGACTGGCACAAAAATCAGAAAGATGGGGTAGATAACATACGCACTCGCGATATTTTTTATTAATTTATTACTTGATTTCAGAAATGAAGATTGTAAATTAGATCCTGATTGCAGTATTGCACTGTGTAAATCTCTGTAATTAAGAGATCGAGAATTTGATCGGAGTTCTTCTACTAAATACAAGTAAAACATTTGATCTTCTTCGTTCAGTTTTGGGCTTTTGGTCTGGATCACACAATCTAATTGTAGGGCGGTTAAATGTTTGAGCGGGGTAAGATTGTTAAAATTCGAATACACACAGAGCCTACACAGTGGAATATTAATAGGAACGTACCTTTAGCCATGTTGTTTAAGCGTCGTAGGGGCCTTTGAAACTTTTAGCAGATGCCTATCGTAGGATGCCAAACTGATTGAGTCACAAGCGTATTTATAGGTAGGCTAGGGACTCTTAGGCAAATACTTTAGCCCAATGGACTTTTTCTATAAAATACGGTTACCCTAGCGACTTTTTCCATAAAATACGGTTACCCTAGGGACTCATAATTAATAGTTTCCTTCAATCAAAGAAACTACCATATATACATAACTACAGAATATTATTTGATATATTATGTACTTGGGAGATAAGGTAAATAATTTATTACCTAATATGTAGGCCACACTAGAAGTCTCCAGAAGAGATTGTGAATTTCTAACATTCTCCCACTTGGCCCACATATTAAAATCAGAAAATCCTTTATGAGAGATAAACATAATAATCTGGTCATAGACTTTATCACTCAACTAAACTTTATGCAACAATCACTTTAACTAGAATATATTATTACATGAATCATGGCGGTCATGCTTTTAAACAAATACTTCCTTCCATGTATTACAATGCACAATATATTCTAACAAAGTATCTAACAACTTTATGAATAAACTTAATATAAGTCATTCAGAGTCCAACTATATCGATCCAATTATCACAAATAATACATGAAAACCCAAAAGTGTGCATTGTCATGTATATCAAAATAAAAAAAAAATGTCTAGACAAACTGTTAGAGAGCAAAGTAAGACTAAATTGAGCTACTAAGCCTCATATGGGTTACATGATCCTTGAAAATATTAGCCGGCGGACCTTTAGTCATAGGATCAACAATCATCAAAGTAGTACTAACATGCTTAAAACTCACATATTGCTTCTTCACATAGTCTCTAACCATCAAGTACTTTATGTCGATGTGCTTGCTTCGGCTGCGACTTTTATTGTTCTTAGAAAAGAACACTACAACTGAATTGTCATAGAAGATTATCAATGACCTTGAAATGGAATCGATAATCCTAAGGCCGGAAATAAAGTTCTTCAACTATAACGCCTATGATGTAGCTCCATAGCATGCTATAAATTCAGCTTCCATAGTGGACGTTGCAACAATTGTTTACTTGACACTTCTCCAAGATACAACACCTCCAGCAAGAAGAAAAATGTATCGTAAAGTGGATTTACCAGTTTCTTTGCATCCACCCAAATCAGAGTCTGAATATGCAACCACCTCCAATGAGTCAGAGTATCTGTATGTGAGCTTAAAATCCTTGGTTCCTTGCAAATATCTCAAAACTCTTTTACCAGCTTTTCAATGATCAAGACCAGGGTTACTTTGATATTTGCCAAGCATTCCTACGATAAATGCAATATCAGGTCTAGTGCAGATTTGTGCATACATAAGGATCCCAACAAGCGAAGCATAGGAAATGCCTTTCATTTGCTCCTTTTTCAATGCATTTTGTGGACATTGATTCAATGAGAATTTGTCACCTTTAATTATAAGTGCTGCTATAGGTGAACAGTTCCTCATCCCGAATCTTTCTAGAATTCTTTCAATATAGGCCCTTTGAGACAGTCCAAGTAATCTTTGGGATATGTCTCTGTAAATCTCTATACCAGTGACATAAGAAGCTTCACCCATATCCTTCATCTCAAAATTTTGGATAAGAAACTGTTTAGTCTCGTGCAACAACCCCAAATCACTACTTGCAAGCAAAATGTCATCCACATATAGGACTAGAAAAATATATTTGCTCCCGCTTATCTTAAGGTATATACACTGATCAATCATGTTCTCCGTAAATCCAAATGAAGAAACAACATTATGAAAAATATACCATTGGCGGAAATCCTGCTTTAGCCCATAAATGGATTTATTCAACCTGCAAATAAGGTGGCTTTTGTCCTTATCACTAAATCCTTCAGGATGACGCATCTATACCTCCTGTTCAAGATCTCCATTCAGGAATGTTGTTTTCACATCCATTTGATGTAACTCTAAATCAAAATGAGCTACTAATGCCATGATTATTCTTAATGAATCCTTCTTTGATACTGGAGAGATGGTTTCATAATAATCAATACCTTCCCTTTGAGTAAAACCTTTAGCTACAAGTCTGGCTTTATATCGTTCGATATTACTAGATGAGTGTCTTTTAGTTTTAAAGACCCATTTGGAACCTATCATGGCATAGTCACTAGAAATTGTTGGTTTTCGAACTCTTGAGGATTTTCTTACTCCCGCTGGTTCAGACTCTTCATCAGTGGGTTCGGATAAAACAGATTGAACTTCATGTGGCTCCTCAAGTGGTGGTGGCTCTTGAACTTGTTGTTCAGACAATTCATGAGAATTTTTCTGAGCAACATTCAAGTTCCCAATAAATAAAAGGTACGACAAGTGGTTCCTTTATTTCTTCAAGTTCCACCTTCTGAGTCAAACCACTCCCACTTTCTTCATGTTCCTCAAGAAATTTAGTATTTCTAGCCTCAATAATTTTAGGAGAATGAGAAGGACAATAAAACCTAAATTTCTTAGAGTTAACCGCATAACCTATAAAATAACCACTTATTGTTCTTTCATCCAACTTCTTTAGTTGTGGGTTATAAACTCTCACTTCAGTTGGACATCTCCAAACGTGTAAATGATTTAAACTAGATTTCTATCCTTTTCATAGTTCAAAAGGTGTTTTGGGGACAACCTTCGATGGAACCCTATTTAAAATATACACAACACCTTTAAGGCTTCACTCCATAAGGATAAAAGTAAACTTGATCTTCTAATCATGCTTCTTACCATGACCATTAATGTTTGATTCCTTCTTTTTGACACACCATTTTGTTGTGATGTTCCTGGCATGGTATATTGGGCAATTAACCTTTACTTTCAAGGAACTCAGTAAATGGACCCTTAACTTGTCCCTTATCTGTGTACCTACCATAATATTCGTCATCCCTATAAGATCTTACAATTTTGATTTGAGCACCAGTTTGTTTCTTTACTTCTAATTTGTAGACTTTAAAAGTATCAAGTGCTTCTGGTTTGTTAAACAGAAAATAGAGATACATATATCTTGAATAGCCATTAATAAATGAGATAAAATATCTCTTGCCATTCAAGCAAGGGGTAGGAAAAGGTCCACATATGTCTGTATGCATGATCTCAAGCAATTAAGAACTCCTTTTGGCACCTTTAGTTGATTTGTTGGTCTGCTTACCCTTTATGTAGTCCACATAAGTCGCAAAGTCAGAAAAATCAAGAGCTTTTAGAACTCCATCATTAACCAACCTTTCGACTCTACCAATAGAGGTGTGTCTCAATCTCTTGTGCCAAAGACTTGATGAGTTCTCATTGATAATATATCGCTTACTGCCAATTTTTTTGTCATGCAATGTTAAAACATTGCATTTAAATGTGGGGTCTAGATCAAGTTTATATAAATTTCAAAACAAATAACTTTATTATCTTTCAAAAGTTTTACAGAAGGATAACGAAAATTTAAATCATATCCACTAATCGATAGTCTTGAAAGAGAAATTAAATTTCTAGAATATTCTGGAACATAAAAAAAAATTCTAAATGTAAGTGAAAACCATTCTTCAAAATCGGCCTATAAGTCCCCACGCCTTCCACACGTGAACGCGTTCTATTGCCAGAATAAACGTATTGTTCACTTCCTATCGGCTTCCTATGAGTTAGAAAGATTTTGGCAATGTGAATTGTAGCACCGGAATCAATCCACCATGTATTATCAGAAACTTCAGTTAAATTAGATTCATAACATATAAAGGTAAAATTACCTTTTTTCTCAAGCCATTTCTTGTATTTCACGCAATCCTTCTTCCAGTGTCCCTTTTTCTTACAGAAATGGCAAGCATCTTTGTCAAAGGTGCTTTTCTTCTTCGTGGCAACACTTTTTCCTTTCTTTGCATTTCTCTTACCACTACAAGAAAATTGTTAATTACCTGGAGATTTGATTCGCAGATAATACTTGTGGATTTTTATGGGAAAAATTAAAATTCCTAAATTTAAAATATTTTACCTGCGAAAACTATTTTTCTACGAAAATATGTAGGTAACTTTGGCGCCATTATGCGCCAAAATATTACTTGAAAAATTACCTGGGGAAATAAATCGGCAAGTACATTTCCGTAAGAAAATTTGCAGGTAAACAAACAAAGAAAATGGGGAAAAATCATACGTTAATCTAAAGGAAAATCCCTAGGTAACTCTACATGCGAATATAGCCGGGGCTATTTTCTTCGGGATTTACTTGGGCATTTGGCTATTTGGGAAATTACCTAGGGATATTGTTGTTGCGGATTTAGGTGGAGATTATTTCTTGGGAATTTACCAGGGGATTCTCTTAGCTGTGGAATTATATGGGGATGTTATTACTGCGGTTTTCGTTAGGGATATCTTTTTGGGGATTTACCTGAAAATTCTTTTGCTTGGAAAATTACCTAGGGATTTGGTTGATGTGAATTTAGTTAGAGTTTTTTTCTTGGAATTTACTTATTTGGGAGAATTACATGGGAATTTTATTATTGTAATTTATTCTAGAAATTTATTAATATAACTCGGGAATTACCTAGATTTACTTATTTAGGAGAAGATTGTTTCTTGAGAATTTACTTGAGTATTTCATGATACGATTTTTATTGGGGATTTGTTCTTAGGATTTAGGTAGAAAATTTATTGTTGTTATTTTAATTGGATATATAATACTTGAGAATTTACTTGTGAATTTTATAACTACATATTTTACTTTGAAATTCTTTAAATACTTTTAAAAATATTATTTAAAATTTTAAGATGTTATTTTTTAATTTAAGAATTATATTTTTTTAAAGTTGCAAAAATTTGATATGTAAAAAATATCCATAAGA